GCAATGTGTCAAATGCCTAGAAGTGGAGGCTGAGAAGTGGCCTGTGAATGGAGATCTTTAGGAAATTGGCTTTGGGGCAGGAAGTGAAAGCACATTGCAGGACTGGAGCCATTACGGTGGTTGGATAAAAGAAAATCGGCCCTGAATAGGAAATTGGGCATCTATGGAGTAGCATATCCAGGACTGGTAAAAACTCCCCCTTCCTCAAGGAAGGAGAGAGGGAAAAGAGGAGCAGCCAGCATTCCTAAAGATCTAGGGCTGGGCACAGTGGCTCACACATGTAGTCCTACACTTTGAGAGGCTGAGGCAGGAGGATTGCTTGAGCCCATGAATTCAAGACCAGACTGGGTAACACTGCTAGACTCTGTCTCTACAAAAAATAAAAAATATTAGAGGGGTATGTTACCATACTCTTGGATTCCTAGCTACTTGGGAGGCTGAGGCAGGAGGATCACTTGACCCCAGCAATTTGGGGATACAGTGAGCTATGATGACGCCACTGCACTCTAGCCCAGATGACAGAGGAAGACCCTATCTCAAAAACCAAAACAAAACAAAAGATCTGGGAAGCTCAAAGCCTGGGGTTGAGGAGGCAGATCTGATGCCTGAAAGGGTGTTCAGGGGATACATGGCCCCTAGGGTCTGGTCTGTTCCCCCCATATCAGCTCAGTGAGGGACATGAGATTCTCCCCCCAAATGTCTTTTCAGCTTCCACCAATCTGTTTCAATTTACCATCACCCCTTGCCTGGACCACTACAATGACCCGCCCCCCCATTGTCCTGTCCGTACACTCAGGCTTCCCTCCACCCCTTCCCTCCACCCTGTAGAGACAGAGAATCTGTCTCTACAGAGAATCAGTGATCTTTTAAAAACTCACCTCTGATCACCTGTGTCTTTCCTCCCTAAAACTCATCAATTTCTAGTTACGCTTAGGATGAAATTCAAAATTCTCAGCTGGATTCACCTGTCCCTCAGTCTTATTCCTGCCACCGCCAGATGTTTATGACTCTTCTGTCACACAGCCTTCATTCCTCAGTGGCACCAGGCCACTTTTCCCCACCACGGGGCCTTCGCACTTGCCTCGCCTGGGCCCAGATGCTTTGCCCCGACTCTGCCCCAGCAGACACACACTTCTCCTAGCTGACTGCTATCCATCCATCCCCTCTCGTCTTGGTGGGTCTTCCCTGACGATCTTCTGTATAGCAGGTGCACCCCCTCTCCTGGCACCCTAAACGTTCCCTCACAGCAGTTAACACTATTGTAATTATTTAGTTATTTTAACGACCGTTTTCTAATTTCTGTTTCTCTCACTAGATTATAAGCTTCATATTGTTGTATCCCCAGTGGCTAATGGAATGCCTGGCATAAAGCTAGCTTTCAGTAAATATTTTTTTTTCCATTGGTGAATGAACGAGGTGTAACTGTAAAGCAATGATATGGATTCCAAATATCACAAACAAATAGCAGTGTTTGTACCTCCCTGTTGGGAATGCCACTCCCCCCTTATCTAGATCAATCAAAATCTTCTCTTTCTTTGAGGCCCCCAATCCTAATTGCCACCTGCTCTAGAAACCTTGTGTACTTCTGTAGCACACTCTGATCACTTATTTCTCTAGCCCCTATGGCACCTGCTGACAGGCAAAGAATGAAAAGAGGGAAGGAAATTAATGTGAGACTGTGTGATGGCCTTTTCCCAAGTAACAGGGAGTCATTTTCCTCTTTCTCAATTTCTTTCAATTTCTACCCTTCGAATATACAGCTAAATCCCTCTAATGCGCTGGGATTCCCCCCCGCCCCTTAGGAGCTGTCATGGAATCAATTAGAGCTGCAGAATTTTACAACTTGAGGTCACCCAGGATGATTCCTGATTTTACAGATGAGAAAACCGAGGCCCGGAGAGGTTATTGTTGGAAACAGTTACTTCTGTTGGATCTTATAATACCAATCAGTGTCAATTTCTAAGATAAATGTTCTCAATACCCCAGCTCCACAGGAGTGGAGATTTTTACTGTTTATTAAAGACATGCTGGTGGTGATGATCTCAGGGCCAAGGTGAGCCCTGTAGGATGGTCTTCCTGTGCTGCTCCCACAGCAGAGCTGCATCAGTCTAGGGTGAGTTAGAGAACTCTGGCTATGACTGGGCATTGGCAAAGGGGCCCCACATTTGTGCTGAGACCCACTGGAATAATGCACTGTGAGACATGCTATATTAAACAATTGCAGAATAGTAAAAGGCGATCTTCCTCCAAAAGTCATGTAGGGTCAACTGGGAAAATGTTTTTTATTTTTTATTTTTATTTTGGCATATTATGGGGGTACAGATTTTAAGGTTTCAATAAATGCCCATTCCCCCCTCCCCCCCAAGTCTGAGTTTCCAGCATGACCATCCCCCAGATGGTGCACATCTCACTCATTATGTATGTATATACCCGCCCCCCTCCCCCCTGCCTAATACCCTATTACTGTAGTACCTAAATGTTTTAAAACAGCCATGGAAAGGGAGGAAGGTCTGAAAAATTTGATCTGAAACACTGTCAGCGACTTCTTCTCCCTCATATATTTTCTTTCTGGTTACAAAAAAACTAGGCAAGCAGAACACAACTTTAATAATCACATTTAAACAGAACATAACACAGCTTTCAAGAAGGAAGAAAAAGTGGTTCCTTTACATCTAGAGAATCAATAAGAAATTAAGCAAAGTCCAGGTGAGGTTTGGCAGTGTGAATTTATGCAACCTGAGCCAAGGGGTTGAGCTCTGTCTCCCTGGAGGCCATGTGGGAGGGGCTGGGAGCAGGGAGGTCCACGTGCCCGGTGGGCACTGCACAGGCGCTGTGTTAGGACTGCAGGTGCGGCACTGTGTCGATGCCTCGTGGCCCTCACGGGCTCCCCAGCTCCTGGGGGGGATGCCCCCATGTCAGCGTGAACATGTTCTTACATGTGAAGTGAGGTACATAGTGACGCGACAACACAGACCATTCGCCAAGAAGGGCTATCCAATCCAGCTTGGGGAGCATGAGGGAGGTTTTCCAGAGCTGGAGAAGAAACTTGGGCTAAGAAGAACAAAAAGGCATCCTAGGTAGAAAGTGCGGCATGAGCACCAGCTTGGAAGTGGGAAACAGAGTTGTGGGTCTGGGAGCAGGGAGAGGTGCTTGGGGCCAGTGAATGGCATGGTTGGGGATCTAGTGCTGGATGGGGCACAGGACGATTTTCAGTGGAAGCTGAGACTATCGAGGGCGGTGAATCTGTGTGGCCTGTGGACCCTAGAACTTGTGCAAGGAAAGAGCTGGTGAGGGAACTGGAGTCCTGTGGCTGCTAGGAGAGGCAGAGTGACACAGGGCCCCAGAGACTTCAGCTTGGGTGTCTCAGTGGTAAGGGCCCAGGCAGCAGGAGTGGCCGTGAGTAAGGTCACTTTGGAGGGTTAAGTGTGCAGGGCAGTTCTCCATGTGCCTGTTTTCCCCCTTTACACTATGCCTGGCATTTGGATGCCTGGGCACAAGTGTGAAGGACAGTCTTGCCTCCATCCTCCTGCCTCCACAGGGGGCCTAGCTCCTTGCAAGAAGTGATTGGAGTACATTTCTCATGCACACATAATTGGCTTTTAGCTCTATTAATGAGGAATACTAGTTTATATATTTAAACTCCACATTGTAAATAATAGGCAATTAGCCTAATATTTAAAGAAATCGATATGATTTGGTCACCTTGATCACCACTGCTAAGCAGTCAAGGATCTTAATCCATTTTCTTTTTCCATTTTAGGAAGTTTAGTCTATTCTCTCCCTTATTTACTTTAGACAAGCAGGACATAACTTAAACTTTATTCCTGGAGTACCCTCAGTTCTTGAGATCAGGACCCCGAGAGCTCCGACATGTGGGTAGCTGCTTCCTCAGCTCTTTCTCTTCCAGCACAAAGAAGAAAGCATGGCCCAACAACTCTTCTTTGTCCCCTATCCCAGAGAGCTCAGAAACTATGTCTTTGCAGATCATTTCCCCATCCCCTCAGCCCTCATTGTCTGTTACTAAAATAATCTTCTAGATTCTTTAGGTGAATTTCTTTGGCCACTCAAAGCACTTCATTTTAGCTCCTCTCCTCTCTGTCTCCTCTCATAGCCATGGGTGAATTGGAATTGAAAAATGTCTTTTTATCTGTAAATTGGGGATAATAGTACCTAGTTCTCAGAGATGTTGGGAATGTAAAAGATATCACTTAAATACATGTGTTGTTATTCCCTCTTCTTCCAATCTCCAGGGCTGCTGTCAGAGAACTCTTTTTTTTCTAATGTGAGCCATGATTCTCTCTCCCTTATAAAGAAACTTTCCTTACTCGTTAAGTAACCCCCTCCAAAATTTTCCTCCACATCTTTGCTTGAAATCTACATGCAATGGAACTTAATTTACTTCATTAACAGTTTCTCTTAGCAGCCTTCATGCTGACCAGTTTACAGTCTAGGTCTTTCAAAGAGGTTGATGTTATAAAAAAAAGTTTATGAGAATCTAAGTTTGTTGAAAAACTATGCGAAGCTTTGAATTCAGGTGCTTTTCAGAAATATATAGGAGTTTTACCGCAATAAGCAAATTGGGTTCAGAGATGGGGATTTCCAGGGTAGGGAGTGTCATGCAATTGGAGCCCTAATGCACAGAGTGGCTGTTAAGAGTAGAGCCTGTGGAAGGGAGGAAGAAAGTCCGGCACACATGCTGAAAGCTGAAGGTTGTCTCCATGGAAGTAGTAAGCCATAGTCACAACGTGAAAGAAGGCTTTCTTGGATGAAGTCTGTTAAATTTTGGGATGGGCTGCAAGAGAAATATGAAGTTTGCTTATAAGGAGATCCTAAAAATCAAGTTGGGGTTGGTTGTGTTCACTTATTGAGTCAAACAGCTGAACCAGTGAGCTCCTAAGGCCCCATTTAGCCTGGGCTTTTCCTCTGCTGTGCCTCTTTTTGCCTTCTCACTCTATATTTTGTGTTTTTGCATGCGTGTGCCTGTGGCCTGCTTGGTACAGTGGGAAGAAGTCAGTGGCTACGATGAAAACCTGAACACCATCCGCACCTACCAGGTGTGCAACGTCTTCGAGCCCAATCAGAACAACTGGCTGCTCACCACCTTCATCAACCGGCGGGGCGCCCACCGCATCTACACGGAGATGCGCTTCACTGTGAGAGACTGCAGCAGCCTCCCCAATGTCCCAGGCTCCTGCAAGGAGACCTTCAACTTGTATTATTATGAGACCGACTCTGTCATTGCCACCAAGAAGTCGGCCTTCTGGTCTGAAGCCCCCTACCTCAAAGTAGACACCATTGCCGCAGACGAGAGCTTCTCCCAGGTGGATTTTGGGGGAAGGCTGATGAAGGTCAACACAGAAGTCAGGAGCTTTGGGCCTCTTACTCGGAATGGCTTTTACCTCGCTTTCCAGGATTATGGAGCCTGCATGTCTCTCCTTTCTGTCCGTGTCTTCTTCAAGAAATGTCCCAGCATTGTGCAAAATTTTGCAGTATTTCCAGAGACCATGACAGGGGCAGAGAGCACATCTCTGGTGATTGCTCGGGGTACATGCATCCCCAATGCAGAGGAAGTGGATGTGCCTATCAAACTCTACTGCAATGGAGATGGGGAGTGGATGGTGCCCATCGGACGCTGCACCTGCAAGCCTGGCTATGAGCCCGAGAACAGCGTGGCCTGCAAGGGTAAGCCCCAGGGCCTCTTGAGGCCTCTGCTTCCTGCCCACCTGGGGCAGGCCGGTCTGCAAGGTTTCCCTGCCTCTAGCTCAGGGTCATACAGGAACAGAAAGAGCCTAATGGCTTATTATACAGCTCTGGAGAAACTCCATCCCCAGGGCCAGGCCCAATGTCTTTCCAATGGGGTCCAAACAGATTGTCCATATTTATTCTTGGAAGAAGAGATGGGGAGAATTCCAAACAGTGGAAAATTAATAATCAGTTGGTTATATTTAGTTTTGGGTCTCTCTTTCTCTCCCCTCCACTCTCTCTCTCGTTCTCTTTCACATGCATACACAGGCACAAGCTCAAGGGCATGGAGAGTTTGGGTTGCCATGGACAATCCACTCAAGGGTAATTGAGAAGTGACTGAATTTGGAAAATATTTTACTTCATTTCAGTCCAGCTCCCACAGCACTCAACTTGGTACTGAACCCATGTAGCTCATTAACTCAAAGCCCTCTGGCTTGGCTTTCTTTCTCCAGGGGCTCCATGCCAGGCCCTGGAAGGAGATAAAGCTATTAGAATGGGAGTGGGACTGTATCGTGTATTGTATTAAGTTTGCTCCTGAGCAACACAGAGTTTTGGGGTGTCAGGATTCTGTGTCCTCTCATTCTCTCTCCTCAGGCCTAGAAAGCTCATGTCCAACATGTGGCAGTAAGTATGCTGAACTGGGAGTGAATAGAAGGGTCTGGAGGCCCCACAGCTTATGTCTTGCCTAAGTGCATGGAAGCTGAACGTGGGAGAAATCCAGACTTGGGGAAGGGAAGACTTTCCTGTATTAAATTTTGCTTTTGACCTTCAAAGGTTCTGATTTGTTTAAGAGGAAGGCTTCTTATATGGACCTCAGAAATGACTGCATTGACCCTAACTTATCACTAGGGTTTCCCTCAGTACTTTGGAGTTTGAGGGCTGTATCAGCTCCTCCTTCTTCATCATGAGCCTCCTGCCAGCTCTCTTCACTGGTGTCACTCCCACCCTGCCTGTGCACCAGTCCAGCCCATACTATGTACTTCCCCACCTACCTGGCTCCCCAGACAGCTGCAGGTGAAGTGCCAGGCACAGGATTGCTAATGCCCGTGGGCTCTGCAATCCTTTAGGCTCAGCTAATTTCCTGGTCCAGAGCACTAACACAACCTTTCTGAGGCCTGCTGAGAGCAGAGAGCTGTGCCTTTGTGTCTTTATTGGATTTCTTGGTTATGGTACCCGTGAGGGATGGTGTGGAAACAGAGGGGAGAGAGTGCCAGATCCAGTGACGAATCAACATAGACAGTTTTAAAATCATCCCAGCCTGGTCCCACAGTGCTCCTTTTTGTCCCTTTGGGTGGGGGTGGCAGGGCACCCCCTTTGGTGTTTGTCAGAGTCCAAGTGGGGACCAAGGCACCAGGCTGAGTTCTTAAAGGTGCAGGTGCAGCAGCTGCCAGACATGCTTGCAGCCGCACAAGGGTAGGGTGATTTCTCTGGGCTTCAGAGAGCTGCCACACCATACTTGCTGGCTGTGGCCCTCTCATTTTCTCATTATAAGCTGAGCAGAATGGCAGGAACCAGAGCAAGCATTGATTGGTTCTGATTTAATTGGGACTCTGGGAACAGGCTCTCATTTCTTGGGGCTAATTGGAGCTTTTCTCTTTGGAGAGGTTCTGCTGTCCATGTTGCTAGTCAGTCACCTCCTGTGGCTATCCTGGGAGGGCCTGTGGGGACAAATATGTAAATCCAAGCTGTTTCTTTCCATTCTCCCTTCCCAGCCCTAACCCCTCCTCAGTTTGGTGGATATTCCTAATCTTGAGCTATCGTGAACCTGCCTTGACTTTACAAACCTGCTTGTTGCAAACTCAGGGCAGGGTGGAGGAGATGGGGAGCCCATGGCACTGTCCCTTTGCCATTTCAAAGGCACAGGCATTCACATTTTGGTGGCATGTCTGAGAGTGGAGAGTGGCAAGTCAGGGAGTAGCATGGGTCCTGTGGCCCAGCAGCCTGGCTGAGCTCAGTGCCCTGGAAGGGCAGAGAAGGCCCTTTCCCTCTGTCTTAGGAACTTTGAGCTACATCCTGAATTCTTTGCCGTTGGCTCTGCTGGCAGAGCCAGACCTCCAGGCCCAGAACTCACAAAGGGCTGCCTCGGGGATGGGAGGGAGCCCTCAGGCATAGATGGTGAACTTGGGAGGTCTCTGCACCCCTTGGTGGGAGGGTGGATTCCGCAATGCTTTTGGAGGAACTTGTGATTGGCCCCCATGGTGTGTTTTCAAGGGAAGACTTTCCACCCATTTTTGGTGCTCATGCTATACTGCTAGGTGGGCATGATATGGCCCTTCACAGTCACTTTGGGGTGGCTGTTTAGTACAGCCCATCCTCACAAGGCCAGGAGCAGGGAGAATGGTGGACGCCAAGGAATTGTGGGTAAGAAGCAGTGAACCCACAACAACTACTCTCTCCAACAGCCCTGATGTCCCCCAAGCCTGGCTGGGGGAAGCCTGGATGATTCTGTGATGCACACAGTTGTGTTGATTTCATACATCTTATTTTCTGGGTATGTGAAACTAGGACTTTGCAGTGTGGTGGAAAGAATACCCTTTCTGTCTCTAATTACACATTGTTTTCCCAGGAGGACAGGCTTTCGTTATGGGCAGGGGACCATATTCTCTTGACTTTCACTTTGCTTCTGCTAATCCCTCTTCTGTCAGAGTCATGGTGACCAGTTGCTTGGTTGTGCAGAGGCACCTGGAGACCAATTAGGCAGCCCAGCTGGTGAAGAGTGGTCCTGGCCCAGAGCTGTTCCTGCTGCAAGGAGGAAGGGTGGTGAGAAGAGAGGGATGGGAGGGTAATCAGGGGGAACTGTGGGGAGAACTTGAGCAGTAGGATGTGCAGCAAGTGGTTTACATATTTTCTGCAGCCTAAGGCTTTTCCTAACTCTTCCTTTCTGCCCATCAGGCAGAATCACACAGGCCTGTTGACCCTGACCCTGTCATGCATTTATCTCTATGAAATTATTAATTACTAGGAAAATGGCCCATCTACCCCAACTTCAAGTTTTGTGTTCATGCAATAGTGGATTCATGAGAAATCATAGCCCCATTCCACAACCCCTTCCCTGCTGAGATGGATAGCTAAGCCAGTTCTCTGTATAGGTCCCATGTGCCAGGGAGGCCGAGTTGGCACTCGGCAAACTTTCTCTCTGCTGTGAAGCCTAAAATACTGCATCAGCTGAGCTTAGACTGCAGCGAGGATGGTGGGGCTGGGACCAACAGCCCTTGGGAGGAGGCTGGCAGGGATGGGCTGCTTATCTGTCTGTAAGACACTCAGGGGTTGCAGTATCCCATGTGAGTGTCCACGGAGGGGTCCCAGCTGCTGTGATGGCCTCTAGGCAGCCAGATCCTAGCTACAGCACTGTGCCTATGGGACTCAGATCTGTCCTGCCCCTGAGTGCTCCCTGAGGGCTTGTCTTTTCCTTCCAGGACACAATCCTTGGAGTTTCCAGGAGGAACTGCCTCAGTAGCATGTCTCTTCAGCCATGGTGGGGACTTAGAAAATGGCAATGCTATGCATATTGCATAATCCTCCCTGCTGACCTCTCTTGCCCCTGCCCTTCCCCAGGATGGCCTCAGCACACTACTGCGGAGGGCACACACCAAGCCATGGTGTCCAGGTCTTCATTGTCAGGGGCTGTCACTCACAGGGGGGTGTAGGGGGTATGCCCAGGTGAAAGAGACCTAACGTAGAGACAGGAGCTGGTTTTAGTCTTGGCTCTGCAGTAAACTTGCTGGGTAGTTTTAGGTAAGACCCTTTTCATTGACAATCCTATCCATTCTGCCTACTACTTCTCAGGGTATGTGAAAATCAAGTGGGATAATAGATATGAGAATATTTTCTAAGTTGTGTAATGCTATGTATTATTAGGTGTCATTGTTAAGCTCTGAATTACTTATTAAGGGTATAAGATTAGGAACGAAAGTGACATGTGGTTCCCCCCCATCCAAGAATACAGTAGCGAGAGTCCTGAGCACTCCCTAATTACCTCTCTGCACCTGCCCAGGGCCAAGCTTCATGGCCATCAAACAGTTAAAGCAGCACACAGGAATGACCTACTATCCCTCAATAGGTCACCTGGCCAGTTAACAAATGCTTGAGAGGTGTGGCTCACAGTTGCTTGCCGTGAGGCACGTGGTCTAGGCAGGTGGTCTTTGTGAACTGGAGGTACAAATAGGGAGAGAAGGCTCTCCAAGCCTGAGAGAGCCATGGTCTTCTGAACTACCAATGTTTGACTCTGGGGGAGGCATGAGATCCCCCCTAGAAAGACTTCATAAAGTGACACCCCCAGGTGCCTCCTTCTGAGACCGTGATGGGTAGGTCTAGTGTGTGTCCCAGGCATGTGGATTTTTAGAAAGCCAAGAGCCCCAGGTATAAGCTGCAGACCGGGACCATTTATGTGGCTGGAGCCAGAAGAAAGGGGCCCCAAGGTAGGTCACTGAAGGTTTTCTTGGGCTTGTGGGATTTGTGGATATGTGGACCTGAGTGCCTGAGAGGACAAAGAAGGAGCCTGGAGGAAGGAACTGTAGAAGCAGGCTGGTGGTTGGGTGGGCCAAGCATAGGACTACAGGCCAACAGGAGGGAGATGTCCAGAACCTTGAGTAGAGGCTGGGGCCTGGGGAGAAGGTCGTGCAGGGCAGTGCTGATCAACCTGGAGTATCGACGGGCCACCTCAGCTAATAGGAGGCTTGAGAGGGTTCTGAGCTGGGGAGAGGGCAGAAAGCTGAGGACAGAGTGTCTAGGTGTTACAGAAGAGAAACCTTCCCTGCAGCTGGCCGGCACCAGCTGAGTCACTGGGTACTGTCCTCAGAATGCCAAGGGTGCCACCACTGGCCACAGGAACACGGTCAAACCTTCAGGACTCTCATTCCCTGTTTAGGCCTGCAAATCAGGGCTGGGACTGAGGGTGCTTTTCCAGGGGGCTCTCAGGTTAGCTGCGACCATTCCAA